GACTACAGTGAATCCAGATCGCAGATCTCTTTTTTAAGGGCTGCCTGGGCCCGAAGGCAACCTATTGTACATGTTTTTGGGGGTTGCGGGGAACAAGAGTACCTGGAGAAAACCCACGCAAGCACGAGGAGAACATGCAAAAGTATTACAAAAATGAAGCATGAACCTATTGATGACTCAGTAAGGGATTGGCAGTGGTGGGATTTGAACCCACGCCCCCATAGAGACTGGAGCCTAAATCCAGCGTCTTAGATCACTCGGCCACACTACCACTCACTTATCTACGGCATCACCATTTTTACTCACCACACTACCACACATTTGTCTTTAGGAACACTATTTTTTAGCTGTTCATTTCCGGATTCACCACAGTGAATCCAGAACTCCTTTCACGACAAATTCAGCCTTTTAATAATTAATTTATTATTTGCAGTTATTTATCCAGGCAAATCCCATTGAGATCGCAGATCTTTTTCAAGGGCATCCTGGGCCTGAAGGCAACGTATTTTACATGTTTTAGGGGGTGGGGGAATACAGAGTACCTGGATATAACCCACAGAAGCACGAGGATAACATTCAAAAGGATTACAAAACTGCAGCATGAACCTGTTGATGACTCAGTAAGGGATTGGCAGTGGTGGGATTTGAACCCACGCCTCCACAGAGAATGGAGCCTAAATCCAGCGCCTTAGACCACTCGGCCACACTACCACTTACATTCCTATGGAGTCACCATTTTTACGCCTAAAGTTCTGTGGTTGAACTTTTCAGAGAATATTTGGACACATGGTGCCTCATTTTAGTTGTTCACATTAGTTACTGTAAAATGCCTCAGGATTACAAAACATAGCGCACGAAGCTAACAATGCATCAGGAATAGGACGCCTTTCTTTGTCAGATCTTTTTGTTCTGGATGTTCTGAGAGAACTTGACATTAAGGGTAACTACAGGTGCCCTGCACTGACTACCACTGTGTCAAGAGTAGGACTAGCAGTGGTGGGATTTGAACCCACGCCTCCACAGAGACTGGAGCTTAATTCCAGCGCCTTAGACCACTCGGCCACACTACCACACATTTGTCTTTAGGAACACCATTTTTAGCTGTTCTTTACCGGGTTCACCACAGTGAATCCAGATTCCCTTTCACGACAAATTCAGCCTTTTATTAGTTAATTTATTATTTACAGTTATTTATCCAGGCAAATCCCATTGAGATCGCAGATCTTTTTCAAGGGCATCCTGGGTCTGAAGGCAATGTATTTTACGTGTTTTAGGGGGTGGGGGAAAACAGATTACCTGGATATAACCCACAGAAGCACGAGGAGAACAAGCAAAAGGATTACAAAACTGCAGCATGAACCTGTTGATGACTCAGTAAAGGATTGGCAGTGGTGGGATTTGAACCCACGTCTCCACAGAGACTGGAGCTTAAATCCAGCGCCTTAGACCACTCGGCCACACTACCAGTTACATTCCTATGGAGTCACCATTTTTACGCCTAAAGTTCTGTGGTTGAACTTTTCGCAGAATATTTGGATACATGATACCTGATTTTAGTTGTTCGCATTAGTTACTGTAAAATGCCTCAGCATTACAAAACTAGAGCACGAAGCTAACAATGCATCAGGAAAAGGCCGCCTTTCTTTGTCAGATCTTTTTGTTCAGGATGTTCCTTTAATTTGCAGTGACCAATGTGAGATAACTTAACATTAAAGGTAACTATGAGTGCACTGCACTGACAACCACTGTGCCAAGAGTAGGACTGGCAGTGGTGGGATTTGAACCAACGCCTCCAGAGAGAGTGGAGCTTAAATCCAGCGCCTTAGGCCACTCGGCCACACTACCACACATTTGTCTTTAGGAATACCATTTTTTAGCTGTTCTGTACCGGATTCACCACAGTGAATCCAGAACCCCTTTCACGACAAATTCAGCCTTTTATTAGTTAATTTATTATTTACAGTTATTTATCCAGGCAAATCCCATTGAGAACGCAGATCTTTTTCAAGGGCTGCCTGGGCCTGAAGGCAACCTATTGTACATGTTTTTAGGGGGTGGGGGAAAACAGAGTACCTGGAGAAAACCCACAGAAGCACGAGGAGAACATGCAAAAGGATTACAAAACTACAGCATGAACCTATTGATGACTCAGTAGGGGATAGGCAATGGTGGGATTTGAACCCACGCTCTTATAGAAACTGCAGCCTTAATCCAGCGCCTTAGACCACTCGGCTACACTACCACTTACTTACACATGGAGTCACCATTTTTATGCCTAAAGTCCTGTGGTTGAACTTTTCAGAGACTATTAGGACACATGGTGCCTGATTTTAGTTGTTCACATGGGTTACTGTAAAATGCCTCAGGATTACAAAATTAGAGCACGAAGCTAACAATGCATCAGGAATAGGAGACCTTTTTTTGCCAAATCTTTTGGTTCTGGATGTTCCTTTATTTTGGAGTGACCAATGTGAGAGATCTTAACATTAAATTTAACTACAAGTGCCCTGCACTGACAACCACTGTGACAAGAGTAGGACTGGCAGTGGTGGGATTTGAACCCACGCCTCCATAGAGACTGGAGCTTAAAGCCAGCGCCTTAGACCACTCGGCCACACTACCACACATCTGTGTTACGGAACACTGTTTTTTTCAGCAACTCTTTTTTCCATGTTCACCACAGTGAATCTAGCCTGGCCTTGCCTTCTTATGCATATCTGCTCAATTCTAGTTTCCCTTCACTGCTCCATTTGGGATTTCTCCCATAGACAAGGATTTCACTGGCAGATTTTCAGCCGGGCCAATCAGAGAACAGAACGTTGATTTTCTTCGCAGTGTCTGCTAATTAGTTTAGCAATGGCAGTGGAGGATGTGAATGAAGCCAGTCCGTGTTTAAAAGGCTTCCAAATTAAAATAAATTTGTCTGACAAAGCAGCATCTCTCATTTACAGTCGTGTTGTTCGGCTCGGTACTTTTCTCCTCTCAGTAGGGTTGTTTACAGGAYACGCAATTTCTGGTTAGCTTCCTAGCTTAGCCTCCTTCACAGCRACATGCACACACACACTTCAGCAGAGGCCACGCCTCCAGCAAGAATCGCTTCTCTATAGCAGCGAGTGCAGACCCTCCTACGAAGCAAAGTGAAGGAAAAGGGTCTGGTTTTTACCAGACTACAGTGAATCCAGATCGCAGATCTCTTTTTTAAGGGCTGCCTGGGCCCGAAGGCAACCTATTGTACATGTTTTTAGGGGGTGGGAGAAACCAGAGTACCTGGAGAAAACTGATTACAGAACTGCAGCACAGAGCTAACCCTGTGTCAGGAACAGGATGCCTTTCTTTTTGTTCAGGYTGTTCCATTATTTTGGGATCTCCACAATTAGAGAATTTAACATTAAATATTTGTTAAGTACAAGACCCCTGCACTGACAACAACTGTGTCAAGAGTAGGACTGTCCATGGTGGGATTTGAACCCACACCTCCATAGAGACTGTAGTTTAAATACAGCGTCTTAGACCACTCAGCCACACTACCATGAACTGTAYGTGGAATCACCATTTTTATGCCTAAAGTCCTGGAATTGACCTTTTCAGAGACAATTTGGACAAGTGGTGCCTGATTTTACACGTGCACATTATAAAAAGAAGTCCAWTAATAGTCTCAAWGTTACAAGACAAGAAGAAGTTACAAGCACTGACCACTAAACTAGTGCTTTTAATGAAGACCCCAAGGTTACATTGGCAGCGGTGGGGTTCAAATCCACGCCTCCATAGAGACTGGAGCCTAAATCCAGCGCSTTAGACCACTCAGCCATGCTACCACTTCTATAGAATAAACTGTTACATGATAAACCAGGATAAATGGAAATGATGCAATGTAATACCCTACCATACCGSTTTTATTTATAAAGCACTTTAAACAGCACAAGGCCAACCAAAGTGCTGTATAGTAGACAGACACAACAGGACATCGTTCGAATTAAAGTTAAAATACAGTCAAAAATATGGAGCTTTTATATTTACAGTACATATAGAAMAGAGTTATGGTACACAGTGAGGTTTTGCATAATCTCACGCAGACTCAAAGACAAGGGAGTGGTAGTGTGTTTTTAAACAAGACTTGAAGACAGTGAGTGAAGAAGACTGACGTAGTGGTAGATCATTGTTTTGACTAACAGGACCAACAGTTGAGCCTAAATCCAGCACCTTAGACCCCTCGATCATGCTACAACACACCTTTCCTTGAGGATTGTTGAGTTAAAATGTCCAAACTGCAGGTGTTTCTGTTTTACTTCTTATTTTTTTTTTTTTTTTTTTTTTTTTTTTTTTGTGCACACAGGAGACTCAGATCCGGTCCGTAAGGAGTCCGTGATGAGAAAGACGGCTCAGTACCTGAAACACGTCGAGATGCTGGTCGACAAACACGTCTCACCCGGTCACACCAACGCAGCTACACACACGCACACGCCAGACCTGTAAATGCAAAAATAAAATAAAAAATAAACGACTTGAGGAAGGAACTCAAAGACAAACTTCAGGTCCAACAGCACAAACATCTTCAAACAGTTATGTGTACAAATCCCCACAGGTGACACCTCTGAGGTACACACTACTGCACACTGGTCCTTTGGTTATTTTTGTTCAGTACTAAAGGCACACAACCCACAAAATATGAAGAAATTAAAGTGAATTAACAAAAATACATAAATGATTATTTCTTCTCTTTATCTTCCTTTTATAATGTGTTGATTTTGAATAAATTAATATGTATGTATATTGTCGAWTTGCATTTTGCACAATGTTTTGTTAATAAATATGGTTTTAATTTAAGTCTGTAAAGTGTTGTAGTGTTGTGTTTTGGAAGAGAAGTCATGCTTCATGATATAAAATGAGCTTTTCAGATAGGCTAATTTGTTAATTGTAATTATGTGCACATGTAAATATGTGGAAGTGAGCCTAATATCAGGGGTTCAACAGATTACATGACTCTTGAGGTCAGAAAATACTAGAGAATAATTGTTTTTTACATACAAATACATATATGTGTAAATCTGGAGTCACTCTGGATTTTAAAAGACTCAACATTTTGAAGAATCTAAAAAATATATCCTAAATGTCTGAAATCTTCAGGCACTCTGCTAGAAAAGGTTTTACCAAATTACAAAAGTTTCCAAACTCTTAAAAGAAGAAGTTATGCAACACAGCTGTTTTCTCATTTCTCAATTTTTAGAAGTTACTTATTTTAACAAACATTTATTTAAACACTTTTCCTGTAATATTTTTTTAAAGTTAGAGCCTAAAAGGATTCATAGATTGATGCAAACATTTGTGTAAATGATGTTGTCATCCAGGGCAACAGGAAGTGTTGATTCATCCTCCTTCAGTCGTCAACATTTAAATTTTTTTGTACATAATATACTTACTGCAAGTTTTTCAGATTTTATGCAGTAGCTTATCGGTACCTGTAGGCGGTGCTGTTGTTTTTTAAGATAACACCTGGTTTGCAGAAACTCATCTTGTGTTGTTTAAACCAGGTAATTTATTGTTTAGGGGAAACAAATAATGTGAATGAACTTCTCATGCTAYATCATTTAAATAAAAAACAGCTGCTGCTTGTTGTGTCTTAAAGGTTTCATCGCTGCAGAGTTAATGTACATAAAACTGATAACTCATTTACATGGACTTCAGCTGGTTTGGATTTTTCCACCCAGTGTCTGTCACCCACCAGCATATTTTACTGTCTGTACCTAAAATGAACAAGCTGAGGACTTTAAAACAACTGCAGCTCAAGTATCTGGAGGTCATGTCTTTTGGAAACAGGATAACATCCAGAAAAGACATCCTTTAATAATCATGTTTTCAGCTAAAAGTTTTTTGGTATCACCTTGTTTGTGCTGAAATGTTATTTTATGAGCCAAAATCCATTCAATTCTGATATATCTTGTATTTTTCATAAATAAAATTGAAGAAATCGTAAAAATTGTCTATGACAGGCTGCTTGGATCAAAGTTACTAGCTAGCTGCTAGAAAGCTTGTTAGAATTTGACTTGTTTTGAAAAACATGATTTAATGAACCCTAAACTAAATGATTCTTCTCATTATGCAAGTCTTAGGCACTGATTAGTGGTAAAATTAAACAAAACATGATCACACATGAATGAACAAAAGAAAAAATGTAAGCATTTGAAATAAACATTTTGCAAAACGTTAAATGTTAAAAGAAAGGTTTTTTAAATAAAATCCAAAGGAATTAGCAGGCTTCACATTATTTTAGCTGAGGCTTGTTATGAATAGTTTAAAGAGAAACTGTGAAAATGTTTAGTTTTATACTTTTCAGAGAAATTTAAGTTTGGTTTCTTTAAGACCATCTCAGGAGAGGTTGACAAAGGTCAAAGGTCAACCACATGGTCAGGATGTTCCTCTACACAAGGTTGTAGCTAGTTTGCGCCTAAGTTAGCTAATCAAAAAGAAAAAAATGTATAGGTCTTCTGGACGGGTTCTTCTCTAATGAAACGTTTCATCTCTCCTCCAAGAGACTTCTTCACAGGGCCGGATTAA